GGCTAGGCTTGATGCTGTACACCATAATGACAGTAACTGTGAAATCGAACATCTTAAATAATGATGGAATTATTCTTTTTCTATAGTTTTAGACTTCCTCCACCTTGCCTTTAATGTATTATGAGTATAATGTATTTGCCAAAATGAGACAAAATGCACAATAAGACAAAGTGGGTTTTTTTCCATCAGTGTCTTTATTTATTTTCGAACATAACACCTGTACACAACCACTAAAACATAACAAAACAAGTAGCTAAACTTACATACACAACTTACATATACTGCAATGGTACATATAACACCATGAAAGGAAAAAAAAAGGGGGGGGGGTAACTTTTGATAGTGATATGTTTTATTGATTAGCATTCAAATATCTCAGTGAAGACAGAACAAAGATTTACCACAAAGCAAGAAAGCATGAGACAAGGCTAATCAAAAGGTATTGGCTGAAGCATTTGCTTATTACGCCAACCCTTTTAACAAAAGATCTTTTAGCATGCAGCTCCTGTACACAGGGCTCGAAGCAAATAATAAAATTCAATTCAATTCAATTCAATTTCATTATATAGCGCGGTAACTGTGTGGGACTCCCACCATACATTACTCACACTCGCAGGTATACGTTACACGAAAATTACAAAGTAGTAGTTCAATGCCAAGCAGTAAACATATTCCCAAATGGACTGCAGAGGGCCACTTATGAGTCATCCCCCAAAGCTTCCACCAAACGGGCAAGTCTTTATTTGCAAGAAAGTTTTTTGAAGATGCTATCAAAGCTTCGTTGTTTACCCCTGATTGCGTAGGTGATCTTTTCTAAGGGCAGAGTTGATGTTAATTCTGAAATCCATTTACCCATCCTTGGTCTATCCACCTCTTTCCAAGCAATTGCAGGCATTCTTTTGGCCATCAGCAGCCTTATGTCTAAAAATAGCTGATGCTTCCTTGTTATGTTACAATTAGCTGGGTAAATACCCAGCAGAAAAAGTTTTGGTTCTAAATGTATTTTTATTTCTAATATTTCTTCAGTGCATTGTTTTACTTCTTCACAGAATTTTTCTAATTTCAGGACACTGCCACAAACATGGGAAAATCATTCACTTTTCCTTGTCACGTTTTATGCAAACATCTGGGATGGTACTGTAGAAAGCGTAAAGTATGCTTTAACCAGTTGTACTGCAAGAAATCTAAATGAGTGTTCACTGTTTGTGATTGTGCCTTGGCACAAGTCCTCTCACACTCTTCAATGGAGAGGTTCTCCTGTAAGTCCTCTCTCCAGGACTCAAGCTTCTTTACTGACGTTTCTGGCGAGGCATCCACCAGTTCATTATACACTTTAGAAGTCAAGCCCCTTCACCATCATTTCTTCGAGTGTTGATATGCCTGGAATGGACAAGGACTGGTTTGCTGTGTTCTAATAAAATCTCTCAGTTGTGAATATCTAAAGAACTGGCTGCGGGCTAAGTCATGCTCGGCAACAATTTCATCAAAGGACACAATAGACAAAGTTAAAGATAAATATTACTGTCACTTTCATGACCCAGGTTCTACGCCACACCAAAAATGGAAAGGACAATCGTGGGTGATTAATATGCGTGTTTAATGAAACCAGTTTCCAGACAAACGAGAATACAAGCTGATGCTTGTAAGAATAGTATGACTGCAAGGGGCTTAGAAGCTAGAAGCTAACTACATGAGTGGTTCAGGGAAACTCAGATAGTTTTTATTCCTATCTCTCCACAGACTCTGTTAGGCAGCGTTGGCACATCACCTTTCAAGTGAGCGAGTGCTGTACATTTCTATGTGGTGCTGTGATATTTTTAGTCATAAAAATGTTTCCTGCCACGAATAGTTCAAATATGCCTCCCCTACTACTGCTCAGTGGATGGAAAAATGTATGTAAGTCTGTGTTTTTAAACTTTGACTTGACAATCAAGGCGTCGACTTGTGATTTCTGATGTTTCAGTATTCTAAATAGGTTGGGTGTCTCTGCACAAAATTAAAATAAGTCAAATATGTTACGAACCAGATTTTTCTTCAGATTGAATTTGTTCCTTCCTGTTAAAAGGGAGTTTTTCCTTCCCACTGTGGCCAAGTGCTTGTTGATTGTTGAGGTTTTTCTCTGTATCATTGTAGGGTCTTTACCTTACAATATAAAATGCCTTGAGACGACTGTTGTTGTGATTTGGTGCTACATAAATATGAATTGTAACAGAAACATCTGCTTTTAGGATTATTTGGGTAATTTTGGAATATCTGTCATAGGTAAAAGACACGACATCTTTCCAAACTGTTGCAACGTGACTCTCTGAGCTTCTGTACTTGTATAAGGAGGTTATCAGTGGTAAAAACTAACACGACTGCACAATTGTGGCTTCAACCCGGCTGTGGTGGAAACAGCACAACATCAAGAGGTGTGTGCCTGGCCCAAAAGAGCCAGGGGAGATGTTCCAGTCATGTCCTACCAGGAGGAGGCCCATGGATAAACCCAGGAGTCGCTGAAACGATTCTATCTCTCGACTGACCTGGTAACACCTCGGTGTTCCCTCTGATAAACTGGAGAAGGTGGCTGGGGAGAGGGAGGGCTGGCTTTCTCTGTTCAGGCTGCTGACCCCGCGGAGATGTGGCATATTTTAAACTGTTTCAGACTCTCAAAACATTTTGATTTCTGAAATAACTGATAAAAGAGATGAATTTAACACCGTATTAATTAGAAGTGGGAAATATTAATAAAGTCTCTTATCTTTGACACACCAGTGAACCAAGTCCTCTAAAACCTTTGAGACATTGTAGCAGATTTCATGCTAGGAAACGCGTTTACAATGAAAAGCACAAAGAAGTGTATGACACGGAGTCAAGTTATTAAGTGTTACAGTCCGCCTGCGCTGTGGAATCTGACTTGACACAATATAAAGTGAAGGTTATTGTCAGGCAAGCGGCGGTTCATAAACACAATAAAGTTCCTGGGATTGTGTTTCTTATCACTGCCTTGCTTGCCTCCACAGGACAGCAGTGAAATCCACTTTAAGGTGAAAATGACAACACATCTAAAGAAGCTGAAGGAGTCATACAGCCAGAGACAGGTAAATCAGTCACTCCCAGTTACTCAGTGACACAAGTTTGACTCGAGGCTACACAAAGAGAGGGCTGAGAGCTCAGGAGTAAGTCACTTTAAAAAAAGAAACAAACAAAAAAAAAACCAACCTCTGTATTTTTGTGTTTTCCCTCCAGGGCGTCCCAGCGAGCACGCTAAGGTTTCTGTTTGAAGGACAGAGAATCGCAGACAACCAGACTCCCAAAGAGGTAACCTTTCATCTTCAGGCTTTACTTTCCTCTTAAGCTCTTCCCCTCATTTATCCAGAGTTTCTCCTTTTTTTTTTCTTTCTTTTTTTTACTAGTCAGTCTTGAGTGGCCATAAGAGAAACTGCAGTTTTTATCAATATGTGTTGCACTGATTATCTCGTCCTTATTTCCTTTTTGTTATTTCATGCTTTTGTTTCGTATTGGGTCAAGAAGGGCATCCAACATAAGTTCTGCCAAATCAAACAAGCGGGGGTACCCGGTGTGATGGCACCTTCTGGAAAGGGAGTTGTAACTATTTATAAAGTGCTGTTAATCTCAAACGACCAAGATATTTCAGCAAATAAAATACAGTTTGTGACCATATGATATACCGGAAAGATTTTCTAAAAGGTTCTTATGTAATGAGCAACAGTTTTTCAGACTCCTTTCTGTAGAGATCCTTTCTGTTAAATTACTGAAGTTTCCATAAACCTGTCCTGGATCTGGGTTCCTGATGTGTGTTTTAATACCCTGTTATTCACTGTTCAAAAAAAAAAAAAAGAATCATCACAGTGTAACATAGTCAGTAAAATCAAAATGACAACAGGTACACTGGGGAGCAAACAACAAGACAGTTTAGCACATGATGGACAAAGACCATTGCTGTCTCCTTATTCCTCCTGAATGATTTTTCTGTAGTTTAGATTTTTTACTGGCCTCATCACTGCTGGTAGCATGAGATGGTGGCAGGCCTCAGGTTGCACAGGTAGTCCAGCTTCTCCAGGATGGGACATCGCAAGATGATTTTTTTT